TGCCTTTATCACTGCTTAAATACTATGAAATATGTTGCGTGCCTTATTCTGTGTAAGAAGCCACATCATCTCACAGAAGGATTTATTTCAAACACTCGACTGACGTTATGAAGTGAGTTTGGAGTAAAAATATGTTATTAAATGTGGCATTTTCACATGCTTTCAGATGGAAAAGCATTTACTTCACAGAGCCGTAGTTCACTGAGAAGCTATGCAAACAGCTGTCATTATCGCGAAGGATTTCTTCGATTTCAGATTTGCGATTTTTTTATGCGTAACTTGTCAGTGAACTACTATGTGTAGTAAATGCTGCTCCATCTGAAAGCACGTGATGATTATTTCCTGCTGATTACAGAACCGGCATTACTATCAAAATGCGCATGACAATTGCATTCGATTAATCGTGCAGCCCTAGTAGACGGGGTGAAAATTCTGTCATTTAATCACTCACAAACACTCAAACATGTATGAATCTTTTTCTTATGTGAAACAGAAAAGGAGAATATTTGAAGAATGTCCTAGCTGCTCTTTTCCATATAATGAAAGTGAATGGAGACTGACATGTCAAAAAAATCAGCATTAAATTATTAAAAAAGTGGCCCATTTTACACTGCATTTCAAGACTTCTGAAATCATATGATGAGGACACAAGATATTCAAACCACTTTTGATGCGTTTGTAATCATTTCAGACTGCTTCAGAAAGCAGACAAGTTATGTATAAGCAAAATAGGCCAAAATCTCAAAGATGACCAGTGGATGAAAAAACAAAGGTTTTGCATGTGGCGTTTTGCCTTAAAAGTATTGATACATAGGGGGAATTTAAATTAAAAGGACCTATTACATACATATAAACTACAATGTGAATCCAGTGGCAGTGTGTGAATGTTTCAAACAAAAGCCATTCACCCAGAGAAGAGTTGATGCAGAGAACACAAGACAACACCCCTACACAAACACGAGCGTAAACGCGTCCTCAATAATAGTTATTCTGAATCAAAATAATAGCTCTGGGGAGCTATTCTCATCATGAATAAAGTCGATGACTTAACAAATCAGTAAACATCAGATCTACTTCAGTCGCTGCGCTCAGTAAGTGTTTTTCAGAGTCACGTGGCCGTCTTTGAGAGCTCTTAAAATTCTCCACAGCGAAGCAACACAAAAGCACATCACCAGTTTGTGAACAAAAAGGGTTATGCACACACATATTCAACGAGCAGCAGGGCACTGGGGCAGCCGTCTTACTCCCGTATGGTTAGTCAGATCCTCTGTTCTGCTTTCATTGTGTGTAGCATGTGGTTCACAGGTTGTAAACCCGGTTGAGAAGAGGGTTTTTATTCAAACGGTGAGGGCAGCAGTCAGTGGCATTAACTCCATGTTCTGAAAGTCTGATATTGCCTCAGTTGGCCTCTATTCATTCCTGCTGGCGCAGTTCAGTGGCATAAGGGCTTTTTTCAATATCACTGGCTTCAGTTACACTTCCAGTTAAACAAAGGAAATATTCACTCTTTCTCAAAATGAATTGAGAGAGCATCTCTCGTGGCATGGAGTCTCACAAAGCAATGAAATAAAAACAACCAGACTGATTGTGCGTCTGATCAGAACTCAGCCTCATCTCGTCCTTCACTCTCCATCGATCATGTATGCAGCTCATATCTAAAGCAAGAAATGACTTTCAAGATAACGAGAATAAAAAACTGCAGTATGCGAGTATACGTGGCTTTGTACAGCTTATTAGCCTTAAAGTTTATGATAGGCTCATTGATGCAGAATACATTTGATATTTATTTATTATAATATTATATTATTTATTATTATTTGTATTCAGAACTTAAATTGATCCTTGTATATAAAATTATGATTAAATATGAATTCTTTTTTTGTTGTTGCAAATTTGATTTGTGTTTATTTATATATATATATATATACAGTGGGTACGGAAAGTATTCAGACCCCCTTACATTTTTCACTCTTTGTTATATTGCAGCCATTTGCTAAAATCATTGAAGTACATTTTTTTTCCTCATTAATGTACACACGGCACCCCATATTGACAGAAAAACACAGAATTGTTGACATTTTTGCAGATTTATTAAAAAAGAAAAACTGAATTTTAAAATTTAAGGGGGTCTGAATACTTTTACGTACCCACTGTATATATATATATACAGTGGGTACGGAAAGTATTCAAATTTATTGAGATGCACCTGTATATATATAATGACCTGTGTACATTTTTATTTTCTATGTTATTCTTTATATGTGTGGGGAAAAAACATGTCATGCATTATAAAATATGAAATTTGAAAATTACATTTTCTTATGATTTATGTTATACATCAAAACAGCATGTGAGCTGCATAATAAATAGCAAATAATAAACCATTTGAATGTAAATATGTTTTAATGTAGGTTATATATTATTATTTTTTATTTTATTTATTCATTTTATTATTTATTTATTTATTTATTTTTGACGAAACTGTGAAAGGTTCTTGCCCATCTATAAGTCCATGCTATAATACATTGCGAAAGGTTTGGACAATTTTT